GTGCACCCATTGCCACTGTAACTGAGTCCATCCACCTCGCTGCTGGTCGTCCTCTTCTTCTCTTTCCTTCCACCATTACCAGCATTAGAACTTCTCCAGAGAGTGAGGTCTTTGCATAATGTGCCTGAAATAGAATAATTTGAGCCTGATTAGTGCCTCAAGTGAGAACTCTGGCTTGATTTGTTCAATATTTATTTGTTTTCTGTGCTGTCCATGGTATTCTCAAGAGTCTTCTGCAATACCAAAGTTCAAAGGTGTCAATACTCTTCCTATCCTGCTTCTTTATAATCCAACTTTCTCTTCCATACAGTGTCACAGGGAATACCATGGTGTGCATGATTCTGATCTTTGTAGGTATAGACACATCATGGCATCTGAATATCTTTTCCAGGGCCTTCGTGGCCACACTACCAAGTACTAGTCTGCATCGTATTTCTTGACTGCTTGTTCCTTTAGTGTTGATAGTTGATCCTCAGAGGCAGAAGCTAGCTACCATTTCAATATCTTCATTGTCAGTTCTAAGGCTGGTTGTTCTACCTGTTATTATTAGTTTGGTCTTTTTTATTTTTAATTTTAGTCCGATTTTTTTTCACTGTGCTTCTTGACTTTTATTACTAGAGCTTGGAGATCCTTTGCATTTTCAGCCATCAGGATGGTGTCATCAGCATAGTGCAGGTTGTTGATATTTCTTCCTCTAGTTTTAAAACCATTCAATCCAGCTTCCCTTAATACATATTCAGCATATAGGTTGAATAAATAAGGGGAGAGTATACAGCCTTGTCTTTTGCCAACCTGGAGCCAATCTTCATGTCCTGTCTGTACTGTGGCTTCCTGACCTCTATATAGGTTTCACATGGACAATGAGATGTCCTGGGAATTATAGCTGCTATCTATATTATATTTATTAACTAGGGATTGAGATATGCCAGAAAACTATCAAGTCAAGAACAGTTATGCAGAACTGGAAAAAAAAGTATATAATTGTTGTGAGGAATTTAAAAGCCACGGTATATCCATCAAATTAAACTTCAGCATATAAGATTGCTATATTTTCCATGTATGAGAACTAGATTTAAGTGGGATAGTGGAGTATTTAGGAAATGTAAATTATTCCTGCAATGAAAACCCTGCAGGTGATATAAGATTTTCCCTTTATCCTGAAAATCCTTCTTCTTTCAAAATATATGCCATATCTCTTGCAAGTTGTTTGTTAAAGTTTTCAAGCTGAATAATTCTTGTTTCCTGTAAATCAGTCTAAAGTACCAAATCTCCAATTCAAATGCTCATGTTTCTGATTCAGATTATCCACTCAGGTTATTCTAACCATTTGCACATCATGGGGCAGTGTTTTTAAAGTCACAAGAAGCTTGTTTTCATTTTCATTTTCTTTTGCACCTGGGCTAAATTTAACCAAAATTGTCAGATCATCCACTGCCAAGTCAGCAGGCTGCTCTCCCTCAAGTAAGCAAGAAGACTTTTGCTTTCACTATCTTCTCTATTTCAGATCTGTGATAAATCACATGAATGACACTGCTGGTCAGTAATTTAGACACTCCTCTCCAGTGTTGTATTTACCAATTATGCAGTAAAGTAGCCAAAAGATAAGGAGATTGCTACTTAAACTGGGAGTGAGTTGAAGCACATCTCTGTCTCTGGCTGAAGCATTTCAACCAGATATTCTTACGCATAAACTTAAAGTACATTACATTTTATTCTGTTCTGCTCTTTAATGTTCAGTCTTTCAAATCTGTCCAGTCTTTCAAATGCATGCATTTTTTAAAATTTAGTTACTTCCCCCATTCCCCAGAAGGTAGTTATACAATTCTTAAATCCTAAATACACATAGGATGAGACCTTCCCAACGTTTATCAAAAAAGTATTAATTTATTCAAAGAGATGCCCAATCACAAATAACCATCTCTGGGAACAAGTTCACATAACAATAGAAAATTACAAAAAATTATTTTCAACATTTTTTTGTCCCCTTCTGTTTAACACTGATCTGGCACCCGTACCTGCAAATTAATCTGAAGACCAAAAGCATTCCCTTACTTTACAGAAGATTGATCATAGTGAGAAATTCTGGGTAGCCTTGTTGCACTGACAAATGAAGGAGCAAAAGTGATAGAACTGTAGAACTGGGTAGTGGAATTATAAGAGAAAAAGAAATGTTTTCTTTATTTTAAAGATTCTGTGATGGCTGAAAACATTAGCAGAAAAGTACTAGACTTGGAACTAGGAGCATAAGGTTATAACCTAGATTAACAGAAAGTACTTCTAGATTTGTGATGTTTCTTCTAAGACAGACTCTATGGATATTTTATGTTCCTATGTTCACTTTGTTGCTTCATTCACTGGGAACACCAATAAACTTGAACAAAATTGCCTTAACTGATTAATGTACTGTAACTGATTAATTATCAAATCATGTTGTGATCCTAGTCAAAGGAAAGATGACATTTCTAAAAAAATAGTTTTAGTTGAATAAAATATAAGAAGCACTCTATTCATCTTTTAAAAGCCTGTATAGTCATATTGCCTAGTGCAGTTTTGTTCTCCTCTCATTCTTTTATCAAAATACTGAGGTTGGACTGGGTTGGTCAATAATACCAAATCTAGTCCTAGAAAGCAAATTCCTAACAAACAAATGAGTCATTCTGGACTAATAACCTGGTACAAGCTTAACATCCACATTGCTTCATTTACTGTAAACTTCTCAGTTGAAACACAAAACAGATCAGCAAATAGCCTTAGAAGGAATGCCCTTCAATTAATCCTTTTTTTTTTCTTTTTAAATTCCAGCCCATCTGAGAGGTTTCCAAAGACTGCACCATTAGCATCTCTTCAAGAGGAAGTAGACACTTCTTCAGTGGACTCTACTTCTAACAGCCCATTTTTACAGAGATGGAAAGATGCACCAAATCCTGTGTCTCTAACAGGAAACCAACTCCAGTTCAAGCTTCCTTCATATGAAGATTTTGCCTTGATTGATTCCCTGGCGGTAGAAGGTCAGGGGCAGAGCAATGAAAATACAGGCCAGAGCCATTGTCCTGTTCCTCCTACAGCAGGTGATGGCATTGTGGGAATGGCAGGTTCTAGGCCTCTGGAATGCAGCAGAACCTTGCAGAATGTAGAAGAGGATGATTTGTACTATGGGATACAAGAGGGTCCAAGAGACATCCTTACTTCAGTTGTTGCTGTTGCTGAACCAAAACCATAAGCCCCCCAAATGGGAAATGACAGAAGAGCTAAAGGGCTCGACATTTTTACAGTTCAAATCCAGGGAGAGTGAAGGGGGATGGAAAAGAGATAATTCAACCAAATTCACAGCATAAGGCTTATTTTTACTGTGGGATGGAAAAGAAAAAGGATGTGGGAATATAAAAATAGATAGAATGTCCAAGGAGAGTAAGAAGTAGTAAAATGAAATAGGTCAGAGTGAAAATAGCATCTATTTCTAATCCAAGAACAATGTGGTGTGCATGCATGCCCCTGTGTGTCTGAAGTCCTAAGGAGATGTATGTGTGTTTAATGTCAAGGACCATGGATGTGTGTTAATGAAAGTAGTAGCCTATCCTGGGGAGTGGAGTCTAGCATTTGTTTTAGAGCAGTGTTTCTCAAGCTCAGCGACTTTAAGACATGTGGACTCCAACTCCCAGCATGCTGGCTGGGGAATTCTGGGAATTGGAGTCCACATGTCTTAAAGTCGCTGAGCTTGAGAAACATTGCTTTAGAGAATCACAGATATCATGTACCATCAAGCCTGTCTGACCTGCAATGCATTGAGCCATAGGCAATCCACCACCTACACTGGGTGCCTTTGGAGGGCTAGTCAAGCTCCTTTTTGGTTGCCTCTGGGATTTTGGAAATGAGGAAGAGGTGCCAAGCACCTAAAAAGGTGGTGGAACAAAGACGTGCAGATACAGCAGACTATTTTTAAACCTATTAAGTGCAACAGAAGTGCCTTTTTTTTAAAACCAAGACATACTCATCTCTAAAATCTGTCAAGAGGGCTATGCCCTCCTTCCATAAGTGGGAAGCAATCTTGATTACTTTATGGGATGAATAAACCAGCTACACACCAGCCCTCTATCATTTTCTATTAATTATAGCAGATCCTTTCCCCTTCATCGGCAGTAGCCTTTCCCCTTCATCTCTATCATTCTGGTGTTGGTTGGAGATTATGGAAACTGTACTCCATCAAAGCTACCATTCACTGTAATCTGCATTTGGCACCTGGGAGGTTTATCTGTGCCTCCAACTATGCTAATATATTTGAAAATAAACTCATATATTAAATACCTTATGTTTCCAGTGACTTCCTTCTGAAGGAAACCAAATCTTACTAAGAAGTGGACCCTCTGAAGTTCTTATTGTTCTGAGAAGTGTGGTGAAAACAATGATATGAAGTAGGAACTTTCCTGTCGGGCAAATTGTGCATTTTTTCTAGGCTAAGGACAATAGGATCTTCACTCCATAATCTAAAGCTGGACCAAAACCTACATTTTATTTTGTTTAATTTACACTTAATATTAAATTAATTTTCACCTTCAGTCACCTTTTCTATTCTCTGGAGGAGATTGCACCCAATACTTTGTAGTGCATGGGCCTCAGCACAGCAGTGGTATGCAACTCCTTAAAGTAGCTGCATCTTTCCTGGCATCAGAATCACGGCTTTCCCTCAACAGCCTGATACCTAAAAATGCGGGAAGATGATTCATAGATGACGAACATCATCTACTGATGTTTTCTTTTTTTGGAATGCATGAAATAGTACTCTAAATGTACCTCTAGTACTACAGAAGATGTAAGATAAGTGTGCTATTTTATTAACTCCTTTTTGCTATGTGTTCAGTGGTGTGATTGTAAGTCATAATTCCATTTAAATTTGAATTTTATTGCTAGCCAAATTTTAGATGATTTTAGGTCTTGCTTCAGCCCAATATGATTTGGATTTTCCTTCAAAGCCTACTCTTTCAGCAAGTATGAGTTCAAGAGATTCATTTAAATATTTCCTATTTTTTTGTGGGAAAAAACAGCTTCTAATTTTGTTTCCAGCCACCACTTTGGGTACCTATAGGGATGGCAATGTATCTCTGTGGTAGAGGCCTTCCCTCCATCAACTCATCAGCTCCATCAATTTCTCAATTATGGACATAATAAACTAGTTCCATGCAGATTTTTTTCACAAGTTTTCCTAAACAGCGGCCCTTTGATATTAGTTGTAACATATAAAAATGGTTGGAGGTTAAAAAAGACTTCTGTGTCAGTGTCCAAGCAGCTTGCTTGTTCATGCTTCATTGCTCAGTGTGATCTCAAGTGAGCAGCAGATGTGTGTGAGCCATTGCTGGACAGAAGGACAATCCTGTGTTCTCTGCATCTTTGCTTTGGAGGTATGGCTTCATGCTTCAGTTCCTGCCTCATGGCTATGGAAGATCAGCTTACTGTGGTGGAAAATCTGGAGTGATTTATATCAGTCAGTTGGCTGTTTCTGCATGGAGAAGAAGCAGTGCTTCCGGGCAGCTGTGGGACTATGGCAGTTTGAAATTTGACAAATTGTGGCAGAAGGAGTTGATGCTCACTTTATTCATTTCTAACGAGGCTGCCTCAAGCTTTGGTCTTATAAAATATCATTATCTGGGAAGCGGTCCCATTGGGATGTACTTCCTAGCAACCTGTATTTAGAATCAAAGACTTAGGAACTGCACAGACTGATATATTTCTGAATTAATTCTTAATAATTTCCTCATTCTTTTGAACGCCAGTCCACAAGACAAAAATACAAATCTTGCTGCATAGAAATGTGACACTTCTCAAAACAAATGAAGTATCTTTAAGCTGAATATATGGCAAAGTTATCTTATTTCTCCATCAGGATTTATTCATGTGAGTTTTTTTAGCTTTTAACAGCTATAGTTTTGCTTATCAAGTGCATTTCTTTATCCTCTGCTATAAACATGGTTTTTGCCAATTAATGTTGGCATTAAATAGTGCTGAATAAGGACCTTCACCTACCAAGGATTAGTTACATATAATATACAAGAATGCTTTTGGGAAAACCACTAATAACCATAGCCAGCCATCAAACCCTTGGGATAAGGGCAAAGAAATACCTGATCAATGTCCACCAAGATAACCACATTACTCTCTTGTGGGTTTGTTTTTTCTTTAAAAAGGGATACTTCCATTGTGATAACATAGGAATGGTCAAAAATACATCAGCTACTATGGGATCATTTGTTACTCTTCCCTTAGAACACATTGCTTTATTATTTGTTACGATTTTTAAGATAAAATCTGGCCTTTTAATTGAAAACAGTATTCAAGGTGCTAAGATTAAACAACCAAAACATATCAAAGTTATCTGGTCCTCGTGTCTAGAGAAGGTCTGCTGAAGGTCCCTCCCCTTGTGATGTGGTGTGGACCATGGGGCAGACCTCTATTGTCATAGCCCTTACATTTTGGAATATACTTCCCCCAGAAGTACATTTGGACCTGACCTTCCTTGCATTTCACAAGGCTTTGAAGACCATCCTGTTTAAGCATGCCTTTGAACTTGGATGATTTGGTGAGATTTATGTTTTACTATATTAACATAGTATTTAGTGTTGATTTGTTTTTTCTGCCCAGAGTCAGAATGATGGGGTGGTTTACAAATACAAGCAAACAAGCATGCAAGAATGTAGGTAGGTAGGTGAGTAGGGGGGTGGGGTACATAGTAGGACTCAGCCAGAACAATCACCTAAAAGACCCTCTTTCATCTTCCTATCAAATGTGTCTGTTTGGAGCACAGCAAACTTACATGGGAGATTGCACTTATCTGGCCTCAATCTTGTAAAACAACTTTTGTCAACTTGAATGTCCTCCAGATGTGGCTTTGTTGCCCAGAATTTTCAGCAATGATCATTCTGGCTGGAGAATTCTGAGAGTACTGGGGTTGGAGGTTTAGAAGCGGCATTTTGAATTGTGAATGGGAAAATACCAGTCACAGCAAATTGTTTAAGGGGTCACAGATTTCTGGATTGGCTGTAGTGTCCAAACATTTTGCAAAGGAAATTTTATGGTGAGTGCACTACAGTAGCCCAAGTGGGATGTAATGATGGCCAGACGTGTGACATCTACCTTGAATGCTTAACTGAAGAATTATATTTTAGTATAAGTTGAACTGACAAAGGTAATCCGACTTGTTCACCATGTCAACAGACACTTCAGATCCCTTGTTTATATAAAACAGAAAAGCCTAGTTAATGACCCCAAAATGTCCTTCAAAGTTGTGCTTGAAGCTCATGCAGGCTTTAACAAATGCACCAAAGTATTTTTGTTCAGATGTTTTTATTCATGGATATTTTTCATATCTTCCAGTATTTTGAAAGCATTTATCCATTCTGACACTTCTGACCACTCTCCCTCCCTCCAGGCTTCAGAACTGTGATCTGCATATCTGACGATTTCCTTTAGTGTGGCAATAATTTAAAGCTTGGCCATCTTGGCCTTCCCTTCGGTTAAGAATTTTTTCTGTCTCATCTTCTGGTTTCTTAGCACTCCAGAAGAATGACTCTGGGTGCATTTTGGTGAGGGGATGAGATGACTATATGGCTGGAGTCAGCAGACAGTTTCTACTTCTGCTGCACCACAACGCAATGTCAAATTCATTTCCATTGAAGACTTTGGGATCTGAGATGACATACAAAAATTAATACATGCATACATAGGTGAATCAAAGTTAGCTTTCCTTTGATGGAACTGTTTCTATTGCTGGAACTGGGAGATGACAGCTCTACCCTCTCCTGCAGCTCCAATATGCTCCTGAAAAGGTGTACCAAGCACCCTCTAAAACTGTGGAGGGACCATGAGACTTGCAAAGAAGAATGAGAATTGTAACCTTCTGCTTCCGTTGATAAATTCTAACTAAGGGGAATAAACAAGAAAGCGCTAAGTAGGTTTTATTTCATAGAATCATAGGGTTGGGAAGAACCTCTGAGATCTTCTAACCCAGCCCCCTGCCCAAGGCAGGAATACTCATATAGTCCCAGAAAAATGACTGTCTAATCTTTGCTTGAAAATGTCCAGGGATGGAGCCCCCACTAACTCTCAGAATCAGTCTAGTCACTGCTGAATAGTTCTCATGGCCCAGAAATTCTCCCTTATTTTATATTTGGGTTTCCCTCTGTAAAACATCCATACATTGGTTCTTGTCCTACCATGGAGCTCTGGAAAATAAATCCACACCTTCTTCCTTGTAACAGGTCTTCAAGTATTTGAAGACTGCTATCATATCTCCTTTCTGCCATCTCTTCTTTATATACTTACTGACAATACTTCGTTGCAGAGTAGAGAAGGTACAGTATTTAGCAAATCACTTCACATACAAGAACAACAACCCATCTTTGTCTATTTCTAGAAAGCAGTCAGCAATGAGAGGATGCTCTACGTTGTTGGGGTGAATATCAAGAAAGAGATGCCAATATGGTGCCAGTATATCCAGTTAATAGACTGGATACAGGCGACCTTGAATTAGAACTAGAATATAGTAGATGCCAGCGTACTTGCTAGAAAACTCGAGTCATGTGTTTTC